TTGGGGAGTACGGTGAACATTTTTTCAATTAAGTGTAAAATAATTTCTCTGGCTGATACAAATGATACTACATGCCTGTATATATTTGTATATTCTTGCCTTTTAATAGTTGAAATTTTTTTTATTTCTTCAGGTTATTGTTCATTTCTTCTGACCCCAAATGGACTTAACTTCTCCCATAGTTTTATTCATTACATCTGATGCATAAGCAACCCTTATCTGAAGAATGATGCTTAGACTGTAAGCTATAACAGAGACCTAAACAATGTCGCTGGCAATATGCAATAGCTACCACGGGCAGTTTAAAACCTCGGGGAGGAAAATAATTTACAGACAGATACTTTTGAAACGAATACATAATTATCTCACCAGCATGTCACTGTGCAACAAAGTCGTCAGCATTTCATTTGTCCTTTGAACGGGTGAAACGTTTTGAATGGCACTCGTATCGATGAATTTTACACTAAACCAAGCTATCTTCTCAGATCTAGCTTCATTTACCCGCCGTTTCATCTTAAAACCGGAAGTGCGAGCTCGTAAATTTGAAATCTCGATCCCGACTCATATTTGACATCGGAAAGAAAAAAAATTGTTTTATTTTTTTTCTGAAAGTTCAAAACCTTGAGCGGAGGCTTTGAACAACTGAAAATAAAATAAATCCTGGCCTTAAATATGTAATTAGATCATTAGCATACTAACCAGGAGCAAAGGATAAGATGTTCAAAGAATTCATGCAATTCACTATATAATGATTAGAGCCCCACCCTAAAACAAGAACCCCTGACCCTGGGGCCATAAAATTCACAATTTTGGTAGAGGCTTTCTTGCTTATCATGACTATGTACTTAGTTAGTTTATTTAATACCCAGGAGCAGAGAAGAAGTTTTTCAAAGAAATAATGTATTTTCACTATATAATCAATAGAGCCCCGCCCTAACACCAGAACCCCTGATCCTGGGGCCATAAAATTCACAATTTTGGTAGAGGCACTCTTGCTCATCATAACTATGTACTTTGTTGGTTTATTTAATACCCAGGAGCAGAGAAGAAGATTTTCAAAGAAATAATGCATTTTCACTACCTACTTATTTAGCCCCGCCCTAGCACTAGAACCCCTGACCCCAGGGCCATGAATTTCACAATTTTGGTAGAGGACTCATTGCTGATTACAATCATGCAAACAGTTCAATTGCTTGATGTCCAGGAGTAAAAAAGAAGATTTTTAAAGATTGCATTAATTTTAGTGGTTTTGGCCCCACCCCTCAGGCCCCAGGGGGGCAGGGATCATGAAATTCACAATTTTTATTCCCCTTTATCCATAGATGCTTTGTGCCAAATTTGGTTGAAATTGGTTCAGTGGTTGCAGAGAAGAAGCTGAAAATGTTCATATGTTAACGGACGAAGCACGACGACGGACGGAAAACAGATAGCAATAGGTCACCTGAGTTTACTCAGGTGACCTAAAAAATTGAGGTGTTGGAAAAAAATAAAGGTATGGAACTCTTTTCATAGGGTACCTACTTTCGCCAATAAAATTCTTTTAAATCAAATGCTTTACAATTTTACTTTCTATCCATATCTATTCAAATATAAACAATCTTCATTACTACCAAAGTTCATTCCGTAATTCATTATACTTCTCGAGATATTCTGAAATCAATTCCGAAATTGACCTAATTTTTTTTACTCGACATCAGCTTGGGCCTTCAATAATTATAAAGCGGGAACGACTATGTACCCTCCCCCCACCCCCGCAGTATCCCTAACCTAAGAGCCCTGAAATGAACCATTTTGGAAGAGGCACATCATTATTGTAAAAATGTACCTAGATCATTGGCATATTTCACAGGAGCAAAGGAAAAGAATTTCTAAAGAATTAATGCATTTTCACAATACAATCATTAGAGCCCCCACCACAACAGAACCACTGACCATAGGGCCATGAAATTCACAATTTTGAAAGAGGCAGTCTTATTCAACATAATCATGTAAATAGTTCATTGGTTTAATACCCAGGAGCAGAGGAGAAGATTTTTTAAAGAATTTATGCATTTTCACTACATAATCAATAGAGCCCCACCCTAACCCCTAACCCTGGGGCAATGAAGTTCACAATTGTGAAAGAGGAAGCCTATTCAACATAATCATGTACTTGGTTAGTTTATTTAATGCCCAGGAGCAAGAGAAGAATATTTTTAAAAGAATTAATGCATTTTCACTATGTATAAGCAATAGAGCCCCACCCTTAAACCAGAATCCTGACCCAGGGGCCATTCACAATTTTGGAAGAGGCATTCTCGCTCATTATAACTATATACTTAGTTTGTTTGTTTCATACACCGGAGCAGAGAAGATGATTTTCCAAAGAATTAATGCATTTTCACTGTATAACCAATAGAGCCCCGCCCTAACACTAGAACCCCTGACCCTAAGGCCATGAAATTCACAATTTTGATTGAAAGAGGCAGCCTTATTCAACATCATTATGTTCAGTGTACTTAGGTAGTTTATTTAATGCCAAGGAGCAGACAATATTTTCAAAGAAATACTGCATTTTCATTATATAATCTATTTAGCCCGCCCTAGCACTAAAACCCCTGATTCTGGGACCATGAATATTACAATTACGGTAGAGGACTCAATGCTAATTACAATTATGCTCACAGTTTGAGCAGTGCTCACTGCTTAATATCCAGGAGTAGAGAAGATTTTTAAAGATTGCATTAATTTTATTGGTTTTGGTCCCACCCCTCAGGCCCCAGGGGACAGTGATGATGAAATTCACAATTTTTGTCCCCCTTCACCCACAAATGCTTTGTGCAAAAATTGCTTGAAATCGGTTGAGCGGTTGCAGAGAAGAAGCTTAAAATGTACAAATGTTAACGCACAGCGCACGACGCCGGACAAAAACGGATAGCAATAGGTCAGTTTACTCAGGTGACCTAAAAAAATTATACGGCTTATTGGATAAAGGTTCTTTTGTTTATCTCTAAACATTATCGACGACTATCATCTATGTATAAATTAAATAACGCATGTGTCGCCTGCTTTTAGCTTACTTAAAGATGTAACTGAATATAAGAGTAGTCAGCTATTTATATGTTTCTAGCATATACAATATTTCAAGCACACATACTACAAGACTACGAAAAAGTCTGTCAATAAAAAAAAAATAGGATTCACAACCCTCAAATGCATGATGAAGTTGAAATCATTAAAAATAATCATTTATCATTTCACATATATTAATACATGTTTCAAAGTCTTTACACCAATTGTCACTCTACGCATGTAACGTGTCGAGCGGAATAATAATAGCAGTCGGGGGTCGTACCTTGTCGATTCAAGGTTTTGGGGGATGATTTCCAGTATAATATAATTTTTCTTAATAAATGATTGACAAATGATTGAGTACAAAGGCCTGCAAAATATACAGATAAATGGCCAACCTTATCTAGGTTAATAGGGGTGGGACGATATACCGATACATACCGATATTTTCCTCTAAGATACGGTTTACGATACAAGCATTAGAATATCGGTACGAAACGATACACGAACGTCCTAACCAAAAATTGAAAATGAAAGTACAAGTCCTCGAAAAATGGCGGCTTGTACGAAGCGAAGAGATGATGTTTATATTGAAAACAAACTTTAGAACTAATAATTTTTTGATTAGGGGTAAACCGTGTTAACTTTTAAGCAGTCTTGGAAGAATGGACAAGAAAAGGTAGTATGTAAAGCGTGTTATGCACAAAATGTATCGTTTCCAGAACGTGATATTACAAACTGTGGATTTTTTTTTAATCTCAACTTGGCTACAGACTTTCAGTAATTAATGATAATGTACATATGATGTTTTAAAATTAATTTTAGTCAGTGTTCTTTGATGAACTACACAACTATTTGTAATCAAATTGTTAATAGAAATTTGGTAATATGTACATGTATTATCCAGTTATTGTTTTTGTAAAGTTTAAGTACAAATGAAATTCTTCCTCTTCCAACACAGTGCAGGGCCTTTTGGGCATCATCGCACATTGATGAATTAATTTCAAAGTTCACATGATTGATTTAGAATAATTTTTTGATTTAATGTTCAAAAAAATGAAATTAAAAAAACTCAATCCTTAGAATAGTTTTACATTTATCATGTTGATTTTAGACAAAAACTTTAAATAAAATACTATTTTTGGGAGAGTTTTATAATATATCATAATATCGAGATATGTATCGTATCGTGTTAATGTGTCGAGATACATATCGTATCGCAAGATCTGTGTATCGTCCCACCCCTATTAAGGTTAATAATCACGTTAATATTGAATAGTAAATCAAATAACTACAGATGATTAAGAAAATGGCAGTGGGTAGGCTATCCCTAACACTGGCCAACCTCGGAGTGACGCTTGTACTGCAGCCTTATTCAGGACACAGTCAGTACAAGTGACAGCCCTTCAACTGCTGTACACACTGCTACCCTTATTCAGGCAGACACACTGTACACAACAACCTGGTTGCCAGACGGGTCAACAAGCTTTATTACAAGTGTGATGGCTAACCTCCTTTGCTGGTTAGCCTCTGAGTGGCTTGCCACTCAGAAAACACAACAGTCTCTTTAATATTAATCTTTGTAGACTGGACTTTACTTATTTGAGGTCGACCTCTTATGTAAGCTGACTTTATTTCTTGTAAGCCTCACTTACCACTGTTATGTTCGCACACGATGTTTTACTTTACACAGCTTGCACTGGAATACTCGATACCGCGATTCAGCCTTTATATACTTTTTTTAAGGCGGATGTTTACGTTCACATCCTAATCACGACGTTTATTTCATTTTCAAAGTACCCTATAATTGAAAGTAGATTTGTAAATAAACACAGTTGAGCTTGATAAAATCAACCTGTCCCACCTCCATGCTGAAATGGATACGTTTTGCGCCTCTATCGTAGGAGAGTTACATTCTCGAAACCCGCGTGTTAAGTTACTTGAATATGTCACTTGTAAAATAATCTTTCCTTTGTGACGACCCTGATGTCTGCCTCTCCTTCACGACACTTTCTTGTAGTTTTGGTCACAACTTCTCTCTTCTTTGAGGATGTCTGTGTGTAAGCATCAACTCTGTTACTTTCTACGGGAGTGACTGCTGGTTCTATATCAACCTGGATGGAAAAATCCATACAAGTTATCTTCTTTGGAACGGGGATCTCCTCCAAACTTGGTCTTTTTCTTGTGAATGGCCAAGTCGGTTGGGTCTTCTTACGGAAAAGTCTTCCTTTTAACAAATTGCCTTCTGTCTTCTCTGGATCCTGTTTCTCCTTCTGCTCATCAATATCATCTTCTTCATTTTCATCACTTGAGTTACTACTCGATGAGTTGGCAGAGGATATCTCGCCTATAACTTCACCAGGGTCTTGGTACAACCAATCTTCATTTTCGCTTTTTTCACCTTTGTTTTCTTCACCAAACGAGCAACCTGCCTTCTCCTTATTTTGTTCTTTTGGGCCCAGTTTAATAAGTTCATCATTAGGTCCTAATCCAGGGTGACATAATTGATGTGTCTCTTTACATTAAGTTCTCTACTGTTGGTGAAATCACATATTGGGCATTCAAACAGCCTCATGGCACACACCATAATGTGCCTCTTAAATTCGTCCTCTGTCTTTGCAGGTTCCGAACACATTGGACACCGCCGATATTCTTTTCTTGTGGTCGTCTTAGTCTTAGCCATCACTACAAAAATATTCAAACAAAAACTATGTAAGCTTCCTAATAATTTCTTTTTACATGCGTACTACAGAGATAATTAAAAGTCTGTCTCATAATCGTGCAACCAACTAGGAGGTTTGCGATGTCTACTAGGGCGATGGGACACTGGTAGTTCGTCATTAAATGTACTTGGACATTTGAAATTATTATTTTCTCTATAATATTACGACTTATATATTTTAATAGCATTTCACACAAAAATTAATTAAAAATCTTATTTCGTTTAAAAGATATTGAAATTTCAAATTTTTCGGCGGGTTTGATTGACATATCCTTGCACTCTCACAAATTTAATTTTATTCTTAATCCTTAGGAAAAGTGGCAATCTCGTTTTGTATAAATGAAAAATATTAATACTATAATCCAGAAAATTCAGAGTAGACACGTTCGAAAGCAAAACAAACACACAATATATTGTCAGTCCGTGCACTTGTGGTAAGCAGACTGTGACGATTGAACGCATCCGGTGAATTTTAAATATAAACAATAACAGAACTCGAGCCCTGTTTACAAAAACTGTGTACATAACACGAGTGTGCTCGATTTGCTAAACTCATCTCTTAGTTCGGATTGACGATACTTTTGAAGGTGATTTGCTTTCTAACATTTCTACTCTGAATAAAATTATTTTTCTTGATAAAAGTTTTAATATTTCTCATTAAAACACATCAAAATTGCCACTTTTCCTAGGGATTAAGAAAAAGTTTAAATTTGTGAAAGTGCAAGGATGTGTCAATCAAACCAAAAAATTTTAAGTTTTAATAACTTTTAAATGAAATAAGATTTTTAATTAATTTTTGTGTGAAATGCTATTAAAATATATAATTCGTGATATTATACAGAAAAAAATGAGTAAATTAACTTCAAATCTGTGTCCAAGTACCTTTAACGCATGAATCAAAATCATCATTTATAGGACCAGAGTCCTCAGGAGTTTCACATGTTGGCAACGGCTAGTCGCTGTCCCCTGACAAAGTCTGTACATGCTTTTTCCGCATTCTGTCAACATGGATAACCTGATCTGCTCCTTTTGGACCACAAATGACCAGATATGTCGATATGTTTTACCACCTTAAATGGACCTCGCCAATAACTTGTTAACTTGGGTGAAGTACCTGGTTTTCTTCTTTGGAAGAAAACATAAACTCTTCACCCGCTTCGAAATGATGCCATTTCAGTTTACGATCGTGGTAATGTTTTTGCCTGATTCATTCTTGTTTTCACAAATTCATGAGCATTTTCCAGGCGTTCTTGTAAATACCATGCCCATTTATTGCTTGGCACCTCTTTTATTGATGGAGGCATTTCGTATATCAAATCAAGTGGTGTCGACACCTCTCGCCCAAACATTATCATATTTGGTGTCATCCCTGTAGTCTCATGCACCGAGCTTCGATATGCCATCATTACAAAAGGAAGATGGACATCCCAATCAATGTGGTGCTCATTGACAAAACCACTAAGCATTGTTGCTAACGTTCTGCTGAACCGCTGCACCTTTCCGTCCGACTGTGGATGGTACGGAGCGGTGTGGGTTTTCTGTATGTCCAACAGACTGCACATTTCCTTAAAAAGGTTGCTTTCATACTGCGGACCCTGATCAGAATGTATCGTAGCTGGTACTCCAAATCTGGATACGACTTCTTCAACAATCTTTGTGGCGACAGTTTCTGCCTCCATGTTTGGCAATGCAAAGGCTTCTGTCCACTTTGTAAAGTAGTCTGCCACAGCAAGGATATACTTATTCCCATTTGATGTCATTGGCAGTTCGCCTAAAAGATCGGTCGCCAGTCTTTCCATTGGATACCCTGTGAAGACTAAATGCATTGGAGCCTTGTTCTGTCTAGGTGCTTTACTCTTCGTGCACACTTCACAGCCACGAACATAACAATGAACATGCCTTTGGAGGCCTGGTCAGTAGTGAGATTGACGAATTCTTGCAAGTGTCTTGTGAATACCCAGATGGCCCTCTGTCCTCGAGTCATGGTAATGTTTCAAAACATTCCATCGCTCCTGCTTCGGGATAATGACTTGAAAAGTATCCAGCTTTGTAACAAGGTCTGACCATCTTCTATATAATATTTCATTTTGAATGACCAGCCGGTCCCACTGAAAGCAAAGGGATTTAACAATAACACATTCGGACGCAATCTCATCATTCTTCGGTTGCTTTCTCCTTTCAAGCCAATCTTTTACCTTTTTGATATCCTTATCCTCATCCTGAAGACATTTCAAAGGCTTTTCTAAAATAAACTTGTCTTCGGCCTCAACTTTGTTTACGGTTTGGTGAGTCAATTCATTATGGCTGACTTTACACTGCTTGCATGGCAATCTACTCAGACCATCCGCATTACCATGTAGTCTACCTGGCCGATGTTCTATTGTGAAGTCATATGTGGATAACACATCCATCCACCTAGCAAGCTGCCCTTCGGGGTCCTTAAAGTTCATCAACCATCTAGGGCGCTATGGTCTGTCCTTACGTAAACATATAGGTAATGTCTAAAATACTTGATGAAGTGTACAACAGCCAGATGCTCTTTTCGGGTAACACAATACTTTCTTTTGGATTTGGAAACACTTCTGCTGGCAAAGGCAATTGGTCGTTCAACACCATCTTTTATCTGTGACAATACTGCACAAATTGCATATTGACTAGCATCGGTATCCAGGATGAATCTTTCATTAAAATCTGGATGAGCCAAGACAGGAGTTGTTGATAGCTGTTTTCGAAGATTGTCGAAGGATACTTGGCATTCATCAGATCATGTAAAATTAATACCCTTTTTAGTCAGGTCATGCAGTGGCTTGGCAATATTGGCAAAGTTTTTGACAGATCGCCTATAATAACTGCAGAATCCTAAAAATGATCTTAACTCATACATTTGAGGGTACCTGCCATGTCTGAACTGCCTTAATTTTATCAGGGTGTGTAGCAATCCCCTTTTCAGATACGACGTATCCCAAATATTCTGCTTCTCTTGAAAATAGAGTGCATTTGCGAGGCTTGATCTTTAGTCCCGCAGCTAACAATCGATCAAACACTTGTGTAAGATTTGAAATCATGTCGCTTACCGTTTTCCCAACAACAATAATGTCAAGATATACAAGGCTGGTTGACCTTGTCAAGAACTGGCTTTGTATCACCCATCACAGAATACAATGTTGATGGTGAAATGATGCTAACGGTTGCCCCAGTGTCAATTAGAAACTTCACTTTACTACCGTTTATCGTAGCATCAACAAATATACCGGCTTCCCCTGCCTTCCGACTTACAACAGTTCTACTTGCATCTTTGCCTGCCCCCTTTCCTTGTCTTTGAAAAGAGGTGGGCTTTTCTTTCTCTTTTAACCTTAACTTCTTCTGCATATTTTGATAAGAGTAACAATCTTTCTTCATGTGGCCCTTCTTCTTGCAAAAGTTGCAAATTATGTTTGACGATGTACGCTTTGTAGATTTTGAGTTCTGTACTGCAATCTTGATTGATTTCATTTCCTCTTGCATGTCACGTACTACCTTCAACAGCATGGTTACGGTGTCTTTGTCTGATTCCAATGGCTGGTTGGCCTCTCTCAAATAACCTTTATCTTCCTGGAGACGTCTTTCAGCAGAATTAAATGCATCTTATTCCACAGCATGGCGTATCGCATCATTCAGGTCAACAGGTCTGACTTGTTTGATGCGGATCCTCATGTTGCTGTCCTTCAATGCATCAATAAATTGCTCTTTCGCAAGGGTTTCTCTAACATCAATTGGGGCAGTAGGATACGCGAGATTGGCAAGCCTGCACACATCCTGCCCAAGCTCTGGTAATCTTTCAGAAGCTCGCTGTCTTCTTTCCCGTGATTGTGCGCTATACAGTTCGGTTTGGTTAGGTGGCAGAAATTGCTCTCCCAGTGACCTAGATAATAATCTGTAGTTACATTTTTTTCCTTCTGGAAGACTACCCAGCACAGCCTGTGCCCGACCTCGTAGGGAAACAGCTAAGTACATGCCTTTCTTAGAGGTAGACCAACCATTCAATTCAGCACATACATCAAAATGAGATTTGAAGTCAAGCCACGAGGTAGTACCATCAAACTTATCGGGCTTTACATAATTACCCTTCTGTTGATTAATGTTTGCCCTTACATCAGGTCTCTGCGTGTTGTGATATTTGTAAACAGAGGGTCATCCTGCCTGTTTCTAACATAAGGTGTACTTGTTAAGGAAAACCTATCTGGAGTCTTGTCATCTGACCTACCAACGCTAATGCTGCTCTTAGGCTCTCTTCTTTCTGATATATCAGTAGGTAGAGTGGTCTTCCTAACTAATTTAGGTTTCGCACCCATTGCCTCATAATATTCATCATCTAATGTTGTCCGCCTGCTTTCAGGTAGACCTGAATCTTTAGCGGTCTTTCTTTTACTTTCATCGAAGCTAGCCTGAAGCTTACTTAGCTCTCTTTCAATTTTAGTAAGGTCATCCATACTATCCATTATAAACAAATATGATTATTGGTAACTACTAAACGGTTAACAAAGTATAAAGAAAAATCAAGTACCCCAAATCCCACCGCTGCCACCAAATTTTGTAACGTGTCGAGCGGAATAATAAAAGCAGTCGGGGGTCGTACCTTGCCGATTCAAGGTTTTGGGGAATGATTTCCAATATAATATAATTTTTCTTAATAAATGATTGATTACAAAGGCCTGCAAAATATACAAATAAATGGCCAACCTTATCTAGGTTAATAATCACGTTAATATTGAATAGTAAATCAAATAACTACAGATGATTAAGAAAATGGCAGTGGGTAGGCTATCCCTAACACTAGCCAACCTCGGAGTGACGCTTGTACTGCAGCCTTATTCAGGACACAGTCAGTACAAGTGACAGCCCTTCAACTGCTGTGCACACTGCTAGCCTTATTCAGGCAGATACACTGTACACAACAGCCTGGTTGCCAGACGGGTCAACAA